ACTCCAACATATTCTTAGGGTTTATCATAGCTCGATCTCCGCATTCGCATAGAGGAGGTTCCTCGAGTCGTCTAACTACAGCTAGGTGCTTCTCCTTAGCCATCATTGGCGGAGGGTTAGGGGGTGGAACCCACCGCTTGAAGTGCTCATATGGATGTCTCCCTCTAAACCAATCGTTGAAAAGAAGGTACCTAGGGTCAAACTTGTCTGCACCGTCGATCCACTGAAAGAAAAAACACCTCTCATGGTCCTACACAACAAGATTCCAACAAAATATTAGTAGCATACTTACACATATAAAGAAAAAAAGATAGTGGAAACAATTTCTTACATTAAAATGTCTGCATGTGTAGAAGCAACGCGCCACTGTGTCCGGATGTTTCGATTGAAACACGTGGGCCAGGAAACCACAGTAACAGTTACGGACAAGGAGGTCAGGAGGGACGGGGGCATCTTTGCTAGACGCGTCGGGGTATAATTCTCGAGGACGACCCCATTTTCGCCAAAACTCCTCCTGATATATTTCTTGCATCTAACAAAACGGATGTAATTTAACAAACAAAAATCAAAACATCACAAATTAATATCAATGAGAACCATAACTAGAATACAACAAATTTCGTTCTAAGAACCGAAAGCAATTAACATTAAACCCTAAACCTAGGGTTTCCAATGTTATGCACAACAATGAACCCATAACATAACAACATGCGCTGCGGTTACCTAGGTATAATACAAATTTTAAAAATTGCATGAAACTCTAAGTAATGACGATTCTTAGGTTCAAAAATCCGACTAATATATATCGAATCGATGCGAAAAAACTAGGAGGGGAGCGAAGATACCTTGCTCTCGAAGATCTACGGATCAAATCAAAAGTTTCTAAGGTCCAATATGCTGATTCGTGAGGTATGGCGAAATAGGAAGAAAAAAACCCGAGAGGGAGAAGAAAGAAGAAGAAGAAGGCTCGGGCAGGAAGGTTGGGGCCGGGGTTAAAACACCACCTCGATGCCATAGATCATGGTGCCGAACTCGGTGCTAGAAACTACGGCGCCAAGCTTTGGGAAGAAAAAACCCGAAAGGGAGGAGAAAGAAGAGGAAGAAGGCTCGGACAAGAAGGTTGGGGCTGGGGTTAAAACACCACCTCGATGCCATAGATCATGGCGCCAAGCTCAGCGCCAAGATCTACGGCGCCGAGCTTGGCGCCAGGATCTATGGCGCCGAGCTCGGCGCCAGGGTTACTGGTGCCGAGCAGCCTGCCATGTCACTGCCACGTCTACTTCGAGCTCAAGAGCTCGACGCCAACAACGATGGCGCTAAGCTAAGGGTCCAGATTTTGAAATCTTGCCTCCAAGAGCATATTTGTGAATTTTTTTTTTTAAAAAAAGGGCTAAAAATAAAAATTCGGTCTGGATGAAGGGTGGAGCTGCTGCTGCGGAGATGGAGTGTTCGTTTTGTTTTGGTCGGCGGTTTCGGGATGTTGAGCTTTATCTTGTTGATGAAGATGGATGAGAAAAATTTAAGTAAAAAAATCGGTGGATCACGATCTCACTTTTTTTTTAAAAAAATGATCTCACTTCTTTCGACTATCCAGGTCGACCATAAAGTTTGAATCTCTTTTGACTATATCAAGGGGGTTTTAGATTATTCGATTCGGATTTGAATGAGGTAGGACAAAAATATCTTTTGATGACGTTACGGAATCGGTTTGAGTTCGTTGGTTGATTTCTGGGCTGATAAGTCCGGCTGGTGCTGGTTTGTTGTGAGAGAAAAATACTGTACCATGGCTGATAAGTCCTGGCTGAAACCAACAAACGAACCGGCTGAAGAAACTATACTCAAAATAAACTAGAAAAGGGATATTCGGACTGTTCGTGACCTCGGACGCATATGGACCATATGGTCGCAGAAGGTTGACCTTGACGCCCAAGAGGTCGAGTACAGCGTCTCCTATTTGACACTAACATCTCGGCGGCATCACACATAGAAATTTATGGAAAATTAAAGAAAAAATTTGACGGCAGCGAGGCACTGTTATTTGCATGGATGCGTACTAATTATATTTCTTCTTCTTCCAAGAACCGATCGGCACCCGTGTAGCACATGCTAATATAATAACAGTCGCAATCTCGAGTCATGCCAAGCTATGGCGAAAAATACTAGGGCCCTAGACTTGACGTCAAAGCCGCGCCAAACCTTAGAAGTAGTCCTATGAAACACAAGATCCAACTTAATTTAGGTGTGTCATTAGTTAATCTATTTCAAATTTAACTAATTTATAGGAGTAGAAAAAAGAATTAACATTTTCAACTTCAACTAGTTTATTGTGATATTATATTTTATGCTGAGATCAATGGTATATATATGTTTGATATATATATATAATAAATATTTGTAGTTGTATGTACAAATTCATTCAAACTCGAGATAGTTTAACTTAAAATAAAATGAGGCTAGAATTATATCTAGGGCGGAGGTAACAGAGTATTCGGATATGGCATATTTGCTCATCGGTCCTGAACCCAAAAAAACAAAATCTATATCAAAGAGCGATGGATGGATCAACATTGCAGGGGCAAATAAACAGGTTTTTCCTCGAATACACAAAAGATTTGCGTATCATTGTAAATAAAAAAAAGAGTTTAACCATACAAACGACGCGCTTCTAACGAGCACCTTAAGAAGTCATACAACCGTAGGCTGGACCGTCCAAGCAACCAATTTCAAGCTTTGATATTACATAAAAGGTCTACAACCGAGCTAAGAGCGGTGCTACAACCTACGAAGCTGGGCGCCTCCGCTACCGGCTGCGCGATCCTACTCCTGCGTCCGAGAAGAGCACATTGCTTTTTCTACCAACCTTGTTGTTGGTCGCTGGGAACAGCTCGTCTAGAGCTGCAACTTGGCTGGACGTCTAATTCCTTGTGAATATGGCGTCGTATGCTCGTTTGGACGCGGATAAAACTAATGCTGCCGGCGGCACGGTGCCCATCTTCTTCATGAGTAGCACCTCGCCCTGCTTGGAGGCCGGTTTGTGCACCAGCGGCTGAGCGGCAATCCGTCTTAGCAGGGGTCGCTTTGTGGTTGCCGCCTTCTGCCTTGGTGGACTGGCGATTAAAGACGATGTCTTCCAATGATTGCATGAACCCAATCTCATGTGGAATTCTCCCATTCATGCTGGAAAGTGCAAAATAATAATAAAGTTCTCGGCCCTTTGTGGTCACAGGTAACAGACTTAGGGATCCATCAAAGTACCAATCTTGAACGCCAGTGTCATCGTTCTTACCATTTCCTGCCATTGCCGTCAAATTTGACAAATGACAAGGTATAGCTCCTGATAAACCATTGCCTGCTAGATTCAAATCGTAAAGTTTTCCAAGGTTGGTAATGCTGAATGGAATGTTCCCATAGAACAAATTATTGCTTAGCCTGAGATATCGCAATTCCATCAAGTCCCCAATCCAGATAGGTAATCTCCCAGTGAATTTATTCCCTGATAGATCTAGGAGCCCCAGCTGTGTGCAGCCGCAGAAAAGATGGGAACGTGCCAGAGAGACTGTTGTTAGCTAAAATAAGAGCAGACATTTGTGACAGTGCGTTGAGGAATGAAAGCTGTGACATCGTCCCAGGGCATTAAGGAAATTCTCCCTCCAAAAGGTTGTTGGCTAGCACCCTGCTCGCTTGGTCGTAAACGATCGTAAATTTCCAGCTGGAACAGTATTTTTCTCTCACACCAAACCAGCCAGCAGTACTTCTTCACAATCCAGCAACGAACAAGCCCAGCCAAACGAACAGGCTGTAGATCCAAGATGATTAGCTCCTGCAATCCACAAACAGAACCTGGGATATGACCCGAGAAGTAGTTGGAAGAAAGATGCACCCAGCGGAGACTTGGAGCACCAAAGTTTGATGGCAGAGGTCCTGACAGTGAGTTATGTGAGAGGTCCAGGAGCGTGAGGTTTATTGGCAACCGAGGTATTGGACCGGTCATTTGGTTTGAACCTAAACGGAGCCTTTTCAGCAACATGATTTCCATGTTTGCTGGCAATCCACCACTGATGGAATTATTAGAGATGTCCAGATATGTTACCTTTGAAAATGCTGTAGAAAACCAATAGGGCAACTGGTCAGCTATTCCTGTGCTCGAAATGTCAATCTTGTCAATATCAGGCAGGCGTTGCATCCACGAAGGAAATTGAGGACCCATGTGACAAGAAGCAAGGTATGCCTCTTGTAGTCTAATAAAGGGAGGTAACCACTCATGATCTACTGCAACTTCCAATTGATTATAGGATAAATCTATCATTCTTAAGTTGTGCAGTCCAGAAAAATGTTCCTCGGTGATGGCACCATGCAAGTTATTGGAGCCAAGTTCCATCACGGTCAAGTTTGTCAGCATACTGATCTCAAGAGGAACGAGTCCAGTTATTTTGTTGTTTTGGAGTTGGAGGGTGACTAAGTTGATAAATCGGTTCATCCCAGGGTAGGGTTCCGTTGATAAAGTTACCTGCCAGATTGAGTTGTTGTATTTTCTTGTGTGATGAACAATTCTGCTGCAAGCTCTCAAGGAACTCTGTCATGTTCCCAGACGCAAGGGATAGCTCTAGGTTCAGGATTTCTAAACTGCACAGGTTTCTCAGCAAGTACAGTGGCACCGTGACGGAATTTCTAAACCCTGAAAAATCTTGGACTTGGAGGGATGTCATGGCTGCTAGAGCATCAGGGATTTGACCGGATAAAATAGCACTAACGCTCAGGTACTTGAGGCTTGTCGTCAAACCCCAAAACCAACAAGATGCCACCGTATGATTAAACAGGTTGAGAGAGAGATCGAGCCTCTCATGTTTGGTGAGGTTAAGGTGCGGGAGCGACTGGTTTGCACTTGCAAGCTCGCATTCAGAAAGAGCAAGGACCCTGAGTGAAGAGACCATGTTCACGGCATGCTGTGCTGAGGTTTACGGACCCAAGTCAAGGTACCGTTACCGCGGCAGATGTGCTATTCATGATATATCCGAGGAGTGCATGCCAGTGTTGGAGCGATTGAGATACTGAAGGTTGGAAAGATTACCGAGCTGATGAGGCACCATAATACCGTCGAGCGCATTCCAGCTGAGATCGAGATGCTCCAGGTGTCGCAGAGAGAACAGAGGAGCTGGTATCTGGCCTTCAAGAAATGCTCCACCATCCGCCGAGCACTGGAATATTGGGTCATCCAGGTCTTCGGAGCCAGTACCAAGGATGCCATCCAAATCGCAGGGAGCAGTCGGGGCTGGGAGATAGAGCCCGACCACATGGCCGGTGACGTTGCTGCACCGGACACCTCCCCAGCGGCAGCAGTCATGGTCTTGTTCCCGCCACGACGCCAGCCGGCCTGCGGGATCGCCTGTGATGGATCGCTTGAACGCCAGCAGCGCGTCCCTCTCGCTCGGAATGCAGCTCGCGGCAGCGAGGCTGTTGTTTGTCTGGTTGGGTCGGTGGTGCGGTGCACTTGCACGGGCGACGAGGAAGAATCTGCAGCCGGCGGCCGAGGCGACAAGCAGCAGCAGCAGCAGCAATTTATTCATTGCTGACGAGCGATGCTTCATGGCGCGCGGTGCGCGTAGCATCAACTCCCAATTTGGCTATTTCGGCAACGAGCCAGCCCGTAGTATATGAGCAGGCGAGTATGCCATGGCCTTTTCTTTTCTGCTTGGGAAATGCATCACTAATAATAATAATCAATAATATATAAGTACGCGTCAAAGCCGTCGGTCGACGGTCGTCGATCGATTGCATGGCTAGTGGAGCAGCCACAACTGCAGCTTGTGTTCTGCTGCCAATTGTGGGGTCGATCAATTGCATGGCCAGTGGATCAGCCACAATTGCACTTTGTGCTCTGCTGCTCTCCAAAGTAGCAAGTAGAACTAAATGATCACCAATCAAGTTCATGACATCCCCATCTTCTGGCTTTCATTGCTGTACGTGATGCCTTCGTTCTGACTTGATCTGAGAGGGAATAGTGCCATCTCACGACTAACGACCAAGGAAGCCTAACATAGCCGGGTTAGACTCAGGGTTGCTGCCTGCTCGGCGTCCCCCTCATCAGAATTGAAAGCAGTCATCACACTAGTCAATCGTAAGCTTGCTCTATAGTTGCATGTTTTGGGTCACTTTGCCGTATAGTTTTCCTAACAAACGCCTGCCAAGTTAATGACACACTTAAGTTTCTGGCCTTCATTGGCCAAGAGATGCCTTCAGTCTCTGGACTTCACCTAAGAGGGAGGAGTTCATCTCACAAGCATCCTTCAAGATTTCAAACCGCCGGTCAAGCTCATTGCCACTGCTCTTGGAATCCTGTGCGATGCCTTGCAGAACAAAGCTCTTCAGCATAGCCTGTTGTACAGAATTCAACAGATACTCAGGGCAGTGGCATGATCAAGCATATACGTGGAAGGAATTGCAGTACCAAGCATTCAAAGAAACATGAGCCGTGACCAATTACCTCATGATGCCGCTTCTGTGCATAGCACCGGATAAGCGATTTGACCAGCTTGTTTCCCAGCGTTTTGCCAGAATCGCTGGACTGGAAGACAAAGCCTGAAAGATGATGCTTTGCCAATGTGAAGGCCATGGAATCACGCTGTGAAGCTTTGTCAAGGACACCAGACGTCCATGATTTAGCATAAGATTCCAAAAAATTTTCATCATCCTGCAGTAAGTATTGTAGAAAATTGAAACAGTGAGACTATGTTCTTTGAACATGGAGAAGCAGCCAACAAAAGAAGTTTAATCATACTAAATGATGGTATGGAATTAATACATATAAAAACCAAAATAAATGTCAGCGAAATAGTATAAATCATGCACTGTCTATTGCATATTCTAGGCTGTGCAATAGACAAAGACAAACAGAGTACAAAGGTCAAGTTCCCAAATAAATAATTAAATGCAAAATAAATTAAAGAAAATGTACCTCAAGAGGCTCCAAGTATCCTTGGGCGTTGCCAATGCATTTGTCCAACGGGGGTAACAGTTCAAGCACATATGCATTAGACAGTGCATTCCATGCTGCAAGCCGTACTGCTGGCTCAACCTTTCTATGCAGATAAATGGCCACTTGCTGACCAAAAACAAAATCTCCATATGAGACAGCTGCAAATTGATCAACTAGGCTCTCAACAAAAGTAGTATAGCTTCCATGAATTTTCTCCTGGAACCTGAGAATTTCGAGGCAACTGATCTCCATTGCTTCCTCTGAAGTGGCCACTGCAACACCCTTAACTTCCTCGACAGAGTTAGATTTACAGAATTTCTGGCATAACCTGTCAGATGCTGGCCATACAATTCCTGTAAAGCACAAAAAATATCCCTACTTCTGTCTTCTTGTAGCAAATGCATGCTAGAGCGGATAGAGACCGAAAGTGCATGAATTTTCCAGATTAAAGGAGCATGAAGGCACGGGGTAGCTGAAATGGCCTCCAGACCTAAAAGGAAGATAAGACCAGCCCTTGAGACATCAAGAATATAGTTGGCTGATGTTGAGAGCGTGCCTTTTGGATCATCAATGCAGCAAACTGCGCTTAGAATCCATTGGATAGGAAGAGGCAGTCTCTGATGCGCCCACTCTACCACTAATGTGTTGCAAGGTTGATTTACAGCTTCTGTCAACTCTGTTTCTTCTTGAATTGTCTCCAATGTCTCTGGTGTTTTTGAAATCTTAGTGCTGCTATTATTTCCTGCGTATTTATCTGAATGCTTCTTCTTGACGGCTAACCATCTGGATCTGAAATGTGAATTGAGAACACTGCTGAAGAGCAGATATTCATCGTCATTTATGCCCCATTCAAAAGGTTTCAGTAATTCCATGTCAGAGGTAAATTTGTGTATAGATGATTTGAGATACTTCAGAATGGAAGGTTCAAAAATCATATCAAAAGCTTTCTCCAACATATAGATTTGTCCAGGTCCGGCAATCAAAGACAACCCTAGGGAAGAACTGATCCAATTTGAAGCTGTCACAATTGTGTTAGTCACATTATCTGACTTCACACCTTCATCGAGGATGACAGGACTTCCTGGAACTGAAGAGAAACATTTGATCAATTCTACGACCAATTGCGAATCCAATTGTGCAAGTAGGCATTTAAGAGACCAAAACCCTCCACCACATGCCCCCCAGCCAAACCCAACACCAGGAGCTGGTCCTCCTCTACCAAACATCTCTATGTTCTGTGATATGGACCATTGTGATGAAATCATTGGCAATAGCGAAGTCAGCAAGTGTAGCAAATCATTATGCCATAAACTGGAGATACCTTCTCCTAGTAGCTTGCCAGCTACACCTGTTCCAGACTCATTGAAACACTCAGAACAACTTTTTTTGGCTCCATGGATCACTCTGTCAACAGACCAGGATAGCTGCACTAATCTTTGAAGGCAGCTTATGGAAGACAATGATACATCAACATTACCATGGCATCTCATATAACATAGTCCCTGCACCAAAGATGCACAACAAAAAGACTGATGCTCTGCATTTCTAACAGCAACAGTGCCCGAGCAGCTGAAAAATCCATTACTAATTATGCCCAGGCCAATTTTGGGGACAAAATCAGGTATCCAGGGCAAGCTGTAACTTTTATCCTCAGGAGTGACATCTAGTGATATTCTTTCCAAAATTGAATTAAGCATGCCTAGCACAGAAGCAATCACCAAAATCAAATAGCTTGCCTCTACCATGTGCTCTGTATTCCTATTCTGCCCGCTGATTAGTGAACATACTGTTATGAACGACGAATAGGAATATGAAGTAAAGAATCAAACCACAGAGGAGACACACGATTTAACGTGGAAAACCCCTCCGATGTGAAGGGGAAAAACCACGGGTACCAGCCAGCAACAATCTCACTATCTCAAGAGTTTTGGGTTACACGCCTATGGCGGCTTACAAGAGAATCAAGTCTCCACGAAACCCTAGCAAGGGTGTATATACCGTACCGTACCGCGACAGGCCCAAGCCTCCGGCGACGGGCCTCCGCTTCGCTCCGTCAGAAGCCTGGCCTATATCCTGGAGTGAATTTGGAACAACTCCAACAAACTTCACCTTGAGACAAATTCATCTTGTATCATAAATCAACCCTTCATCCTGAACATAACAAAGATAGAAAACCACTGGTGCCAACAATAGTCTCTTGGACTATCCAATTAAACCAATTAAGCTTGAGTACAGCTCAAACTTAGCAACAGGAACAGACTTTGTCATCATATCAGCAGGATTATCATGAGTACTAATCTTGCATACCTTCAGCTTACCTTCTTCAATCACATCACGCACAAAATGATACTTGATATCTATGTGCTTAGTTCTCTCATGGAACATCTGATCTTTAGTGAGGTAAATTGCACTTTTTTACATCACGGTGCAAACTTATGCAAGATTCAACTCCACAAAGCTCAGTACAAACCTTTCAAACCAAATTAATTCTTTTGCACGCTTCACAAATAGGCATATATTCTGCTTGAGTAGTAGACAAAGCAACAGCCCGATCGTAAAGTAGCCCTCCAACTCACAAAGACAACTGTCAACAAGATAAACACATAACCTGTAAGTGATCTTCGCTTTGTCAGATCAGCAAACATAATCAGAATCCACATAGCCAATAAGACCCTTATCAGTTCTTTCCAAACTTTAAACGAGAGAATCACTTTGTGCCTCGAGGTACCTAAAATCCTTTGAATCGCCCTCCAATGTTCTTTGCCGAGGATTAGACATATATCTACTAACAAGACTCATAGCATATGATAAATCTAGACGAGAGCAAACCATGGCATACATCAAAGACCCAACAGCACTAGAATAAGGAACCCTTGACATGTATTCAAACTCTGCATCTGTACTAAGACACTGAGCAGCTGACAACTTAAAGTGAGGTGCAATAGGGGTACTAACAGCCTTAGCATTTTGTATGTTGAAACGCTGAAGAACTTTCTTGATATAATTTTGTTGACTAAGAAATAGCAAACCAGATTTTCTGTCTCTACTAATTTCCATACCAAGAATTTTCTTAGTACTACCAAGGTCTTTCATATCAAACTCACTACTCAATAGCTTCTTTAACTTAGTGATTTCAATCTTACTCTTGGCAGCAATCAGCATATCATCAACATATAACAGCAAATATATAGGTGATCCATTAACATGCTTGATGTAAACACAGCTATCATACTTAGATCTTTTAAAACTGTGTGCTAACATAAATGAATCAAACCTCTTGTCCCACTGACGAGGGGACTGTTTCAAACCATACAAGGATCTCTTCAACTTGCACACATATTTTTCCTTGCCAGGCACTATGAACCCTTCTGGTTGGTCCATGTATATGTCCTCCTCAAGCTCTCCATGCAAAAACACAGTCTTCACATCTAACTGCTCAAGCTCAAGATCATGTGAAGCAACAGTACTAAGAAAAGTACGAATTGAACTGTGTTTTACCACTGGAGAGAACACATCATTGTAGTCAACACCCGGAATTTGACTGTAGCCTTTAGCAACTAACCTTGCCTTATACTTTGGAGGCTCGCTTGGAGATAAACCCTCCTTTGTCTTGAAGATCCATTTGCAACTGATGGTCTTCTTATTCTTAGGCAAAGGTACAATCTCCCATGTACCGTTCTTCTCAAGAGACTGCATCTCCTCATGCATAGCAGAAATCCAATTCTCAGTATCACCACAACGAATAGCTTCTTTATAGGTTGCTGGCTCATGAACATTCTCCACCTGTTCAGCACAACTCAAAGCATAGTAAGACAAATTACACTCTTCAATAAGACGCTTAGGAGGTGCAATTGTCCTTTTTGACTTGCGTTGAGCAATAGGTAAATCCTCCTCTAACTGCAAAATAGGAGGAGTTTGCTGAACATCATCATGAGCATCATCCTCAGCAACATCATTATCATGGTCACCATGCTCATCAACAGGCTCCACCTGCACACCTGTATCATCATCAACATGCTCCACCTGCATGCGCATACGCTGCAGCTCCTTTTCTGGAACATGATCTGAGGGCAAACTGTCAGGAAACATCACTGATTCATTGAAAACAACACTCCTGCTCATAAAAGTCTTTCCTGTTTTAGGATTCCACAATTTATAGCCTTTGACTCCCGAACTATAACCAAGGAAAAGACACTTAACAGCTCTAGGCTCTAATTTTCCATTATCAACATGAGCATAAGCAGTGCATCCAAAAACTTTCAACTGTGAATAATCAGCAGGCGTACCAGACCATACCTCAATGGGAGTTCTTTTATTTAGTGGAATAGAAGGCGACCTGTTTATCAAGTAACAGGCAGTATTAGCAGCTTCAGCCCAAAAACGCTTGCTCATCCTGGCATTAGACAGCATGCAACGGGCCTTGGACATGATGGTTCTGTTCATGCGTTCGGCCACACCATTCTGTTGTGGAGTATGGGGTATGGTGTGATGCCTAACAATGCCTTCCGATTTGCAATAATCATTAAATTCACGCGAACAAAATTCTCCACCATTATCAGTACGAAGCAATTTTACCTTCCTTTCAGTTTGCCTTTCTATCATTACTTTCCAGTTCTTAAAAGCAGCAAAAGTATCATCTTTCTGTTTCAGAAAATAAGGCCAAACCCTTCTAGAGTAATCATCAATAATTGTAAGCATGTAACGAGCACCACCAAGTGAGGACTTACGGGAAGGACCCCATAAATCAGCATGAACATAATCAAGAGTACCTTTAGTGGTGTGAACAGAAGTGTTGAAATGTACCCTTTTATGCTTCCCGAAAATACAATGCTCACAAAACTTTATTTTACTCGAAGTGCAGCCATCCAGCAGGTTTCTCTTCATCAATTCTGCCATACCATGGTGACTCATATGTCCCAAACGCATATGCCAAAGGTTAGTTTTACTAGGTTCATCATTAGTAACAGCAGCAACAGCGGAATCAGAACCAGGTAAAGTACACCCTCTAAGGACATATAACTTTGCAGAATTAAGATCACCTTTCAAGCAAACAAGAGAACCTTTTGATACCTTCAGAACGCCATCTGAACCGGAATATTTGTAACCTTCTGCATCAAGCGTGCTCAATGAGATAAGATTTCTGGACATCCCTGGTATATACCTGACATTTTTCAGCGTGCGTGTCATGCCATCATCAGTCTTGATCTGAACTGATCCAATCCCCACAATGTCACACGGGTTATCATCTCCCATCCGCACAACATCCCCTTTCTGCATAGGCTTATACGAGTTAAACCAATTTCTGTTAGTGCAAATATGAAATGAACATGCGGAATCGAGAATCCATTCATCATGACCAGCAACACAACCAAAGCAAATACTACCGGACAATCTCGAGAATCATCATCGACGCAGCAATGAAGACAAGAAGAGACCTTACCACCGACTTAATTTTTTTCCTCTTCTCCTTATTTCATACTTTTTCGCAATCCTCAACATTATGATTTGTCGACTTGCAATAAACACGAACTTTTTATTACCATGCGGCTTGGACTTTGAACAGCCTCTCCTTTCGTAGTTCTTTCTACCATCATTGCCATCATTGGAGGATCTTTTTCGATTCGCCTCTCACATGCAAAGCATCGCCCTTGGAGGACGACGTCGTCATTACGCACCATGCCTCTCATCTTCTCCCTAGATCGGAGAGCCTCATAAACTTCCTTTAGGGTTAGTTCATCACGGCTCAAGAGTATGGTGTCACGAAAATTTGCATACTGAATTTGGCAAAGAACATAACAAAGATAAAAGACCTAAGTCCTCATCATCATACTTCACCTCCATCGACACTAGGTCGGCGACGATCTTCTTGAATTCAGCGATGTGGCTCATCACTGAATCGTCCTCCTTCATCTTCAGAGTGAATAGCTTCATCTTCATCTGCATCTTACTGGTTAGATCCTTGGACATATAGATCGATTCCAGTTTCAGCCATAGTTCTGCAGCAGTTTTCTCTTTCAGACACTCCTGCAAAATATCATTATGAAGATGCAACTGAATTAGGGCGAGCGCCTTCTGATCCTTGCGGATCTCTTCTGGAGTCCACTCGGCCTTCCTCTTTCCGAAACTATCCAGCGCCTCATCATAATCATGAGTCTGCGCCAGAATCCCCCGCATCTTGACTTGCCATAGCGAGAACCGCGTGTCGTAGTTCAGCAGCGGAAGATCGAACTTCATCGACGTCGTCATGAACCCTAACAGCAACCAAAGCTCTGGTACCACTTGTTATGAACGACGTATAGGAATATGAAGTAAAGAATCAAACCACAGAGGAGACACACGATTTAACGTGGAAAACCCCTCCGATGTGAAGGGGAAAAACCACGGGCACCAGCCAGCAACAATCTCACTATCTCAAGAGTTTTGGGTTACACGCCTATGGCGGCTTATAAGAGAATCAAGTCTCCACGAAACCCTAGCAAGGGTGTATATACCTTACCGTACCGCGACAGGCCCAAGCCTCCGGCGATGGGCCTCCGCTTCGCTCCGTCAGAAGCCTGGCCTATATCCTGGAGTGAATTTGGAACAACTCCAACACATACATAGGGAATATCATTAAGATGTAACCAAGATAATGCTAAGTCTACCATCGGGACAACATGGCTCCAAGAAGATGTCTCAATATAACTGGCAGAAACTCCCAGATCTTGATTGGCAAGCTGCTCCACTGAATGAAGGAGTGGTAACCTTTGTGCCAGAGCTGCTAAGACAAGATATGACTCTCTAGCGACAGAACTAAACTCAACAAGAACATTGTGTTCACTTAGTTTCTTAAACTCAGGACGACTGAGCCACAGACACAAAACAGGAAAGAAATCAGCAAAGTGAGCTATACAAAAACCATAGGAGATGCAGGTTCTCCAAAACCGCAGCTACTCAACCATCATTGCTGAACTAAGCTTGCATTTTTCCTTTCCAGATCTTACCCAGTCCTCAATAGTACCAGCTTTTCTGTACCAGTGCCACAATGCCTGCTGAAAAACTCCATGGTTCACAAAATTCAAGCAAGTTTGCCTGTTGTATTTGGACAAAACCTGATCAAAACAGAATATGTGGCTTTAGATGCTGAAAAGAAGTCCTGTTTGGCAGAAAAACAAGGGAAACCGCACATGTTTTCTACAATATGAGTCGATTGCAGTAGCTTTCAAGATGCTGTATTTTCAAAGTATAATATTACTGGAACATAGAAGTGAACATGTATGCTATAAAATATCAAAACACATAAATTAGTATGTGTGGGTACATAAAATGTGGAGGGCAGTGTGATTGAGGGAGACAAGGAGCGAGCTTCATGAACTAGAAAGGAACCAATTCATGAAACATCTATACCATATGGCAATCGATGTGAACTATTAATGCACTTGCATACAAAGGAAATCATTTGAGCTCAACTAATAATTCAGAAGAATGCCACACATTACTGGGAATAATATAACACATCTCTCGGTCAGTAAAATACGCAAGGATGACCAAGAGAAGCACCTGTCTAATAATAATCTGCACCTACAGGAATTATTCAGCATCAAGCCATCAACATGTGTGCTATGTCAATTGATGATGCCAACTATCTATCATGATAGCTCTATAACACGGGTGTCAAAAGAATAAAAAAAATACCTTCAAGAGAGTAACCCCTTTGATTTGTGAGGAGAGAATTTCCATTGATCCTTGATTTATCAACAGCTTAGTAACACTTTGAATAAGTCTTGGGCAATTCAAGATTGCATCAGCAGAATGTGGGGAGTGCCTGGCTAGTGCTACAAGAACCGATACAAGATAATCTTCTAAAGCAGGAGATGGGTCCATCTGAATCAATGGAAAAGAAAAAGTTCAGTTTAACACCCTTAGTGATTACAATCACTTTTTGAAAGAAAAGAACAAAATTATTAGCAAAAAAAAAAAGAGTCAACTAGGCATTAGCTGATACAGGGGTCACTAAAAATGTACAAGTGCAATGCACAGTTATCACTACAAAATTACCTGGTGGAACAAATATCATGACTGAGTTCAAATGAACAACACAGAAGCCAGGGGATACATTCAAAAATATATGCAGATGTTGGATAAAAGATATAATAAATTAATAGGCCCATCCAACTAAAATTATTTGGCAATTATTTTTTTTTAAAGAAAAATGGCAGGAGCTCCAAGCATAAATTAAGAAGAATAGAAATGTTGTAGATACTAGCCCCACAGGATGAGGCAAGCAACAACACCAAAGCTCTACTCGAGTGACTAATTGATAACGGAGTCATAATTATAGGACACCTATAGTACCACAATATGTTCCAAGGAATCCCAATTCCCAAGGTTAGTGCTAAAAATTCAAAAGCGAATCATAATTATCTTATTACACTTTCACTAGCAACAAATATTGAGGTGGTGTGACCAAAACGAATGATATTTGCTGGTGAGGACCAGGTGGTCCAATAGCGGCATTGGACATGATAAACCAGTCGAACTTTCAAACAACCTCTGACATCACTCAATAAACCTGAATTGAACCTAACTTGTCAGTGGCAACGTTGCTGTGTGTGTGAGTGTGTACCCGTGTGTGTGTGTGTGTGGGGGGGATCAGACAGTGCAAATAACATCAATGGGGTTACGTATTATTAAACATAAGAAACCACAAAGGTCAATGTAACTTCCGTATGTTTGAAGTATTTTCAAAGAAACGACAACAAATCGAATAAGAATAAAAGGAAAAAAAACTGACCTACAACAGAAAACAGATTCGTGGAAGTATTCCTGTTAGAGGAGTCAAGGGCCTAATGGGCCCGTGTTAGAGGAGTCAAGGGCCTATTGGGCCTTAGCCCATTAGAGTTAATTAGTCGCTTGCTTAGGGGCCAAGTCAGATCTCTCTATATAATGAGAGGAGATGTATCAATCTAATGAAGCAAGAGATTAGAAGGAAATCCCTTCTCTCTTGCCGGCCGTGGGCGAAGCCCCGCGGCCGGCCTCCCCCAGCGCCCTTGCAGCCCTAGCCGCCGCCGCCGTGAACAGTACCCGCGGACACTGTAGCTCCACTGTACTGTAGCACGCCCTCTCATCTCCATCCCAACTAGCCACGTAACAATTCCCATCCTAACAAAACCAGCAGCAACATCTTGGCCAGACACAACAACATCATCCTGAATTGTATGCTTCTCATCAGCTTCGTCTTCATCATTATCACCATAATGTGGGAGTATATTCAATGGTTTGGTGTTGTATTTCCAAAACCCACCATCAAGAAAGCCTCCATCTAGGTCAGGTTTGCTACGAAACACAGGAGCTGTGCAGATATCTTTTCCATTACCTACTTTCTGCAGGTATAACAATGACAAAATAAGGCTCAAACTAGCAACAAAAATAGACTAGAACCACCCAAAAAAGACAGTTACCTCTAAAAATTCAAAATAGGATTCATTGAACTCACAGCTCAGCACAACATTAACTACTTTAGCACAACTCAAAACTACAGAATCATGGTTATCATCCAAAGCCATCCTGCAAATGCATCAGTTAGTAACAGAAACTCGGAAAGTGCAAAGTAGAAAATAGTAAAGAAAAGAAAATGGCATCACAAGGTCCCAAATCCAAATAGTTGCCTTTGGGTCAAACAAAAAAAATGCAACCATGTATTTTAGATTACAAGGTGGATGCACACGCAAACACCAACACACATGCCACCTTTAAATTTTAAATACAAAGCTAAGGGACAACACAAATATGAGAGGTCCATGATTGTATTTACATGTTTACTACTGATCAAACTATTCAAATATTCCATTTATGGTTCACTTCATTTATACGCATTGTAAATCTGAATGCATAGTATTACTCTGCATGTAACAAGGAAGAACTGAATCCAATAAATAAGGAATGACGTTTAGATCACAAAGTCACATAGCACAAACACTCAGTAGATAGCATGCCAGTGCCAGCAGAAGATATGGGTAAAGAGTAGAAACCATGCAATGGCTCCACTCTTTTCCTCAGTAGATAAAATTGTGAAGCTAACTCCCAAGAAAATGGGTTTGCATTGATAACAAAGGGGGTATTTAAGAAAGGTATTTTTACCTTAGGGAGAGTACCAATTCTGGTTCAGGCCCAAGTGCATAGGACCAAACTGCTTGCCAGTCATCGAATTTTTTATTAGAACTCATTCCTTTAACATTATCCATTAGATCGGTCTTATGAAGGCTCTGCAATGCCCTATTCAGAATAGAAGCAAGAAGTTGCAGTGCAAGCACACGCTGCCCCGGAACCTATAATTTGAGGAAGCTGAATTATATCACATGTCCAGTAGTTATCATATTGCAACTTTTAAAAATTAAAAGTTATATTTTAACAGATAATGTAAAAAATGCATTCTTTGAAACCTGAGGCAATGACGGTTACTATTTACTACCCTCACCATGACACTCCTATGTTGACACAGAAGTATAAAATAGACTAGAACATTGAACTTGCCAGATAACCAGTTCAATAGCTAATGCTCTATACAAACCAAATTTATGAAAAAAACTCATTACCTCACCTAGCACCTTGATTCCTTTCTTCAGTGTTTATTACAAACACACACTAGGAAATCACTCCCTCTATCTTCAATGTTTATCACAAACACACTAGGAAATCACTCCCTATCTTCAGTGTTTTTATCACAAACACACTAGGAAATCACTCCATCTTCAGTGTTTTTATCACAAACACACACTAGGAAATCACTCCCTCTCTCCAGTGTTTATCACAAACACACACTAGGAAATCACTCCCTCTCTCTCATCATTTTATCAAACACACACCGGGAGATCACTCCCTCTCTCTAACCGTTTTATCATATATACAGGAAATCACTCCCTCTCCCTCTCACACCATTTTCTCATATATATATAGCTGATACACCTGCCCATGATATCATCCTAACTACTGCAGTCATAACTCCTATGATTGTCTATTATTCTCCTTGACTACTAGCTGAAAATCTGCTGACACAATGAACCTGGACACATGCATGGACACACAGGCTAACACACCTTTAGACGTCATACTGCGACATAAGCATGGCATATACATGATACAAATTAAGAATTAAAGGCCTCTTTTCACCTAAAACATATATTCCTTGGGATCCACAAATCAAGAAACGAAAAAATAAGAACCAATCCTTGAAAAAAAATGTAAGTAAAATATGTACCACACAAAATAGTGCATAATACAAAGGCCACAAAAACTCAAGAAGTAATACATATTTTATTCCATGCTGAAACCCTGAGCCTATTTTACATCACTAGGATAGATAGTGGAAATTATCGTAATAATCACACTTTCAAGTTTCTTATTGAGAAGACATTTTTGGAATAACCCTTCCCATGTAAATGGTTGGATGTTGTGGGGAAAGTCAAGAAAGATTTGAACTCGCTAATTGTCCTAAGTGTAACAACCCAAAAATCCACACACAAAAATCACAACTACAAATTTTTTTCTTCAAAACCCCATGTGATGATTGTTAGCTAATCTACTGCCACCTTGTGTGAAACACAGCAGAGGAAGGCGGCGCCGACTTTGCCCCCTGCTGTAATATCTTGTAGCCGTTGCGGTGTAGGCACCATGACGGCTCACTCACACTGCTAAAGATCAGAGGCACATGCAAGTGGCGGCGTGAGAGTCAGCCATGTATGCTTATCTAGTTTCTTTATTAAGACATGTGCGCTGTACTTTAGTTAGATAGATAGAGTTGTATAAATAGGGCACCAAAGCAACTCAGTAAAGAGAGCTCAGATTTGCCATCACACAGACAGGGCCTCGGCCAACGTTGTTGTCTTGTATTATGCGTGCTTGCTCTGTTCTCCCTTCTTCTAGCTCGATCCATAGTGTGTGGGTACGGACATAACCGGTATAGTGGTCTGGGAGACCAGTGGTCTGTAGACTAGTGGTCTGGTCTGGAGACTAGTGGTCTGGTCTGAGAGACTAGTGGTCTTGGAGACTAGTGGTCTGGTCTGGGAGACTAGTGGTCTGGAGACTAGTTCACTATCGTTAGACGGTGATCCCGTGGGCCAACAAGTGGTATCAGAGCCGTACAAGCGCCGTCGTCATTCTAACCGATGGCGAGGATAGGCGGTTTGGAGTTGGGCGATGGCAGTGGCACTGTCATAGCTGCCCAGCCACTATCGGAGGTAGTTGTCCGCACGGTGCGGGAGGTCAGCGGCACCACTTGACCGACGCTGACTCACACTAACTATGGAGAGTGGTCGGTGACCATGAAGGTCAAGCTCAGAGCCCGACGGCTCTGGAATGTTGTTGACAAGGGCACCGACGTGGAAGAAGACGACATATCAGCGTTGGAGGCTATCCTCGCTGCTGTACCGGTGGAGTACAGGGAACCGTTGGGGACGAAGAGCTCAGCTAAGGAGGCGTGGGAGGCCATTGTGGCGATGCGCGTCGGTTCCGACCGCGCAAAGAAGGCAACGGCCCAGCTTCTGAAGCAGGAGTATGCAAACCTTAAGTTCAAGGATGGTGAAACAGTGGAGGACTTTTCCCTCCGCCTGCAGACGCTTATCAGCAAGCTGAAGAGCCACGGCGTCACCATCGACGAAGAGGATGCGGTCTCCAAATTCCTCCACTCCATGCCGGCAAAGTACATCCAAATCGCTCTCTCCATAGAGACGATGTTGGACTTGTCCACCCTCACCATCGAGGATGTGGCAGGCCGTCTGCGGGCGGTGGACGAGTGCCTGGAGCAGGCGACAGCAACGAAGGACAGCGGGAAACTCTTGCTGACGGAAGAGGAGTGGGCTGCTCGGCGAAACTCCGGGAAGGCAGCCTCCTCCAGTCGCGGTGGCAACGGCAAACATCGCGGCAGGGCTTCTTCGGAGAAGAAGCAAATCGACTCCAACGCCTGTCGGTGTTGCGGGAAGATGGGCCATTGGGCACGGGAGTGCCCAAATCGCAAGAAGGAAAAGAAGGCTCAGGCTCACCTAGCGAAAGCCGACGATGAGGATGAGGCCACTATCCTTATGGAGACGTTCTGTGCACTGCACGACGTCGAGGCCATGGAGAGGGAAGAGGCGACGATGGTGGAAGGATCTAGTAAGGCCCTGAAGACCGTCAACCTCGACGAACCACGCGCCCAAGTCCATCTTGGGCATGTGGGTGTCGACCAGGAGCAGCGGTGGTATCTGGACTCTGGTGCCAGTAACCACATGACGGGCTCCAAGGACTCTTTCTCCGAGCTCGACGGTGATGTTACCGGTACGGTGAAGTTTGGTGACGGCTCAAGGGTGGCTATCCAAGGGCGTGGCACCATCATCTTCAGATGCTAGAATGGGGAGCACCGCACGCTAACGGATGTATACTACATCCCACAGCTGCGTTCCAGCATCATCAGCATTGGTCAGCTGGATAAGCGCGGTAGCGAGGTTCTGATCAAGGACGGCGTTCTGAGGATCAGAGACCGGGAGCAACGACTTCTTGCCAAGGTGAAGAGGTCCCTGAACCGGTTGTACCTGCCCGACCTAAAGGTAGAGCAGCCAGTTTGCCTGGCGGCAAGGCACTCCGAGGAACCGTGGATGTGGCATGCCCGGTTCGGACATCTCAGCTTTGACGCGCTTGGTCGGCTGGGGAAGATGGTCCGAGGGTACCCCACATCAAACAAGGAGGCGAGCTGTGTGATAGCTTCTTGGCCAGGAAGCAGAGGAGGCTACCTTTTCCAAAGGCGGCCAAGTATCGCGCAAAGGAAGCTCTCGAGCTAGTTCACGGCGACCTCTGCGGGCCGATCACGCCTGCTACATGCGGTGGTCGGCGGTACTTCCTCCTACTCGTGGACGATTGCAGTCGCTACATGTGGCTGCAACTCCTGACGAGCAAGGACGAAGCGGCGGTGGCGATCAAGAAGTTCAAGACGCGTGCGGAGGCCGAGAGCGGCAAGAAGCTCCGTGTACGGAGGACTGATCGGGGTGCGAATTCACTTCAGTGGAATTTGCTACGTACTGCACGGATCAAGGTATGGGGCAACATCACGCCGCACCGTACTCGCCACAACAGAATGGCGTGGTGGAGCGACGGAACCAGACAGTGGTCGACATGACCCGATCCATGATGAAGGCCAAAGGGATGCCGACAAAGTTCTGGGGAGAGGCGGTGACCATGGCGGTGTTCATCCTCAACCGTGCTCCAACCAAAGCCCTAATGGACAAGACGCCGTTTGAAGCTTGGTACGGGAGCAAGCCGAACGTATCATTCCTCCGGACATTCGGTTGCATCGGCCACGTCAGGAAGACGAAGCCGAACCTCACCAAGCTGGAGGACAGGAGCACACCCATGGTGTTCCTAGGCTACACGGAGGGTACCAAGGGGTACCGGCTCTATGACCCACGTGGAGACAAGGTGACTGTCTCTGCGCGACGTTGTGTTCAACGAGGAGGCAGCTTGGGACTGGCATAGTCCGAGCACGGGGGAAGCGGGAGGCTTCACCAACACCTTCGTCGTCGAGCACTTGGTCATCCACGGTGGTGGAGACACTGCGGAATAGGTGCCACGCACTCTGGGAGGAGCGCCGAGCACTCCAGCGGTAGAGTCGAGCACTTCTGGGGCAGTGCCGAGCACTTCAGGAGGGATGTCGAGCACTCCGGGAGGAGTGTCGAGCACTTCTGGAGGGATGCCGAGCACGCCAGGAGGTTCTGCAGTGAAGGCGACCACTTCAGGACGGGTGCCGAGCACTCCCGTGGCGGAGCCAAGACGTCTTACTGTGGTTCCGACCACTCCAAGACTGAGGCTGGGCACTCCTATAGTGTGGCCGAACACTACAGAAGTTATGACTAGTAGTCTAGAAGCAGTGCCGAGCACTTCGGGTGCTATGCAGGGCACTTCGGCGGAAGAAGGAACTTCATCACCCCCGATCGAGTTCGCCTCACCTCCAAGTGATATCACTGAGTTCGTGGACGCCTACCATGAAGGTGAGGAGTTGAGGTTCCGCAGGCTGGACGACATCGTCGGCGGCACAGGCCCCTCAGGTCTGGCGGGTAGGCTGCTCAACGATGCAGAGTTGCTACTCGTCAGTGTAGAGGAACCACCCATGTTCGCGCTAGCCGAGCGCGATGGAAACTGGCGACAAGCAATGCTGGAGGAGATAAAGGCGATCGAGGAAAACGAGACTTGGCAGCTCGTCGATCCACCCCCAGGATGCCGTCCGATCAGCCTGAAGTGGGTGTACAAAGTCAAAAGGGACGAGCTCGGCGCCATTGTCAAGTACAAGGCGTGCCTCATCGCC